GGATCATTTCGCTCGATCTAGATTGAGACTAAGGCAAATTATGACAGTTGTCGCGTTCTGGATACTAAGAGCACGAATATCACTGTCTGCTACCGGATACTATGATATATACCGATGATTGGAGTGCATACAGATGGCTACATAAACTTGTTGATATGCATCGTTTCGCTGTCCACAAATGGCATTTTGTGGATCAAACAACCAGAGTGCACACAAAAGATACTGAAACTATGTGGTCGAGGCTGAACGAGTTTTTGCGACTTTCTCATGGCTCCAGAGATCGCCTTTTACGGAGCCATATAGATGGTTTCCTCTTATGTGTGCATTAGGATTTTAGAATCTCTGAACCTCTTTTTAACCTTGACAAGTTTTCGAACCATCTAAAAGAAGTGTGTCCACTTTAATTCTTCGATTCTGTATAATATATTTTTACTCTATACTGTTTTCTATTTGGCTAATATTTCTAAAGGTCACATAAAATTCGTTCAAATGTCGTCCATAAGTTATAGTCTCCCCGATAAATTCTATAAATTAGACGAAGAAAAGATAAGACTTTTAAATGATTCAGCTATAATTTTACTAATAAGATTAGAGCTGGAATACTTAACACATACCTCAAAATTATTTAATCTTTGTTCATAATAGTTTGAACCTTGTTTCCAAGCCCTTTATTAAGATTTTCTATTCAAATTCAATATTATAGAAAATATGATTACTGTAGGTGTAATTTATTGCTTTAATTTCATGCTTCTGTTATTGAATCTGTGGGGATAGTCTTTTTTATTTTTAAAAGGTATTTACCGAAGTTTATTTTATCCATTATCTCTAGTATGTATTCGTCTAAGACTTTGTCTATGTAAATCCGGTTATGTTTTCCCCTTACTAAGTGAGACTTGAATGCTACGTTTAAACTTAGAATTGTACTGATAAATTTGTTACACAGACTGAAGTTTTCTGTAGGCTGTTTTTAAAGTAGTGTAGGGAATTAAAAAATTTTTCGACATCCCACATTAATGTGGGATCTCGGTCAGTTCATATAAATAGTCCATCCAACATTCGTCACGATTGATGAAAACGTATATCCTTTCAAACTTTGAAAGCCATATTGCATTATTCAAACTTTGTTTTTACCTAGCTTGAAGTATATCAGTAATAAAAATGCGAAAAATCAATTCATAAGTATCACTCAAGAATGGACAGTTTTAATGTATAATAACAAAGTTAGTATATTTTAGTGGCTTATCTTCGTTAATCAATCACCGTTATTATATAAACCTCAAAGATGTTTGAAATTAAAAGGTAATAAGAAGCGGCAACTACAGTTTATTAATGGATAGCACAGATCACAAGGATACAAGCACATTGAGAGAGTTTGAAGCAGAGAGGCTAATGTGTGTGTGAGAGCGAATACAGAGGTGAATTTATAGTCAAACGGAATCAATGCGCAACTACTAGACAAGTCAAACGCTAATATTAGGATTCGCGTACATATACACATAGGAAATAGAATGATTCATCAAGCGATAGTTAAGCTATCAACATATTAGCGAGAGCGAAATATGTCATGTGAACAAGAGTACGTGTTTATACAGACAAGATAGTGATAATAATAATGCAAAGAAACGGACCTTCACTTCCACAGTAATCATTCACTGTTCTCCTTCTATTTCCATTAATATTAACCTCCCACTAGATATTTCACTTTCGATTGATAATATATACTACTTATATCTGTTGACATTAGTAGCACACATCACACTTCCGTATGAATTTTGAAATGGTGATCTTTTATTCAGTGTTTTAGTTTCGACAGTAATTTATTCTCATAAATTTCCTATAAATTCCAAATACATTGGTCCATATTTGTTAAATTACCACACATTTAACAAATTATACGTTAAGTTTTCGATATGAATATCTTTTATGATTCATAGATTATGACTGATTGACAAAATAAATTATGACTATCATTCAATATTATTCCAGTCATAAATTGTGTATTGTAAGCTGGATATAACTGATTCACTAATGATGCTGTTAAACTTTTCTTGCGACAATTGGGATTATTCCTAATGAATTACGTGATAGTGTGATGTGAGCTCATTATATTTACATAAGTGGTATATAACGATGGTCAGACATAGAATGTATTTCACTACAAAATCGATAGGGGAAGAACGGGAACGAAGAGTAATTGGTATGAAAATGCAGGAACAATGAAATCTGAGACGATAGACTGATATTTGCAAAAAAACAGTCATGTTTGAGACAACTGATTGATATTTTGGAAATTAACTATTTACTATATGGTTCTCAGATTTCAGTGAGATGTTCTGTAATTTTGTGCTCAAATACATTCGATTGTTCTTACTCGTGTTCTTTTTGATTAAAATAGTTGTGTCACTCTCATAGAATGATCAATAATGGCTAAAATGTAACTATTCATTGAATAGCTCCACTTTGCGTTGATCGGCTAGTAACATATATCATTCAGTTTACCTACCTAAATACTTTAGAATTTATTATTAAATGATGGAATATTATTATAATCTTATGGGCTTTTATTATTATTCTTATTCCTTGTGTGATTGTAAACAGATATTACCATTAAGTTTATTTACATTCTGAAATCGAGTCACTGATTGGTTTGTGTTTTAAAGGTAAAACTATTCGTCATAATATCTATTAGATGTCACAATAACGTGGATAGGACTGACGTAATACCTTGAATTAAATGTATCATATAAAAACAAAGTAGTAAATTAAATTTCAATTTACACAGTCATTTTTCCATAAGGTTAGCATTTTGATTTAGAAGAAGAACCATTTACTGAGGTGAATGTTTTAATCTTAAAGCTTTCATTATGTTTCATAAGTTTCATAAGTAAACAATCCATTCCGGAGAATATAGCATTTCCATAATGTTTATCCTTAGAGATAATAATCCTCTATAATGTCAAATGGATAACAAACATTTCAACAATATTCATGAATGGTATAACTGCAAAAAATAGTAGATAAAATGATCTCTTAACTATATCCAATATATTGGAAACTTAGGAAATACAATAGAAGTTATAAATAAGAGATCACTGAGTTTTTCAATTATTCAAACAAAGTTGTTTAAATAATAATGAATTCTTTTAAAAGTTATTAAGTTAAATGTTAAAAGGAAATGAATTAAGTGGTTTTGGTCATTATCCTGAAGAAGTTCAGACAAGTTTGTTGGACGAAACGTTGGAATTATTTAAATTTCAATGGCTGGGATTACTTTTCTATACTCGGCGCTCAATTATCATTGTTAAACTGTTCATTCTAATCTCGAAGAATATTTGTATAAAAAAATAATAATGGTAATATGTTTAAGAAGGGTATATAGTTAGACAGAATAAATTTTCTTATTACAGTTAAATTTTGTAATCTATCTCTTTATGTATGAAAATACGTAACATCCATTAACACATAATTATACAAACAAAACACAAGAAAAGATGTTGTAATTAACTTACTAGATGATTGTTCTTGAAATATATCTCAGTTCTCTGAATATCTAGTGTGATTCAATCCCAATTGTGATATCATGAATGTTCACAGCTAAAGAGTTCCATACTAGCATGAAACAACTGTTCAGTGTTTCCAGGTATCCAATATTAGTCTAACATCGGTCGATTCATGATATCAACCAAAAAAAGATAATTTCATGTAAGAGTTTATAGTCTTGAAGTAAAACATGTAACTGACGATAATAATTGTTTCTGACATTTTGCAAACAATATTCAATTTTAATGGTTGAGATCATGAGTCATTTGAATTTAGACACTCATGAGCCCCTAAATGCCCCGGTACGGCCAAGAGTGGGGACGGCCAGCTCTCTCTCTCTCCAGATGCTTTCAAGTGGCCACGTGCATATAATCACTACCAGGGAAGTCCTACTTACTGCCTTCTCGCGGTATTATTGTTGTTTACGAAATTAAGAGGACGAAAAGCTAATGTCCGGCATTTTACTCGGATTGGTGGACACTGATGATCCATCTAAGGGAGTTGGAAAACCCTGATTTCAAACCAATGGTGTACATGTGTTCCACGATCCTAAGGAAACATATGAACCAATTGTTGATCACCGGCTACCATGGGACTGCATGTACTGACGTTGTTCCACTACCTTGTGGATCAGACCTTCTGGTCAAAAGCTGTGGTTTGGCCTCCTACGAAAACCACCTACTTCGGTTTAAACACCGGGCAGCATCCCAGCTCTCACACAAATTGGATGATTTATGTTGCGCATATTAATTTGATGCCTCCTTGTATCAATGTTTATGTTTTTATATAAATAATAAATAAATAATAGACCACCAAGGAAAACCTGATAGCACTAGACAACTTTTCCATGGTGGTCTAACTTCAATTAACTCATGATTTCAATTATTAAAATCACTATAATACCTACAAACTCCTTTTGATAATATTCAGTTTGTGAGTTAATAATATATCTGTTATATTTGATTGTCGTCGATTGCTGTGCCGGAAAAACGCTGATCACTTATATTCGGATTGAGGGACCTCGGCAATACCGCGATGAGAAAGTAAGAACACAAGACTTGTATAAGTGAAGATTTATTGGCCCCAAACACTATGACGACGAATCATATTAGTCTAAAATACGCTGGTTTATGTATTGATTGTACACTCATTTTGATTAATAATTAGGATTAAACCACATACTCAGTTATAACAAATCACTTACTATACATAGTTCATGTCAACTGAATACAAGAATATCGTATATTATACCGAAGAAAATCTCATACTGGGAAAACCAACCCAAATACTACATCGAAATAATCCTCATGTTGAATTAGAAGGGAAGTAATGTTGAACAAAACTCATAATGAGTAAATCAATCAAAAATTGACTTTTCATTCCATCATATCAATATCTCTACTATTTAAGTCAATCATTCATTTTAATCTTTTGTTTTTTTGTTTGTTTCATCATTTTAGATTTTCAAAGTATAATCTTCCTACATAACATGATGAACTCTTCCTAAACCATATTCTTAAAGGAAAACAGCGACGACGACAACAACAACAAAAACAACGACAAAAGTAACAACAATAATAATCATAATAACAACAATCATTATTCATGTCTTTAATGACAGCTGATTTATCAAATCAAATTCCAACTGTATTAATAATGTTAGGTATTATATGTTTAATTGGAATATTTGGTAATACACTTGTAATTATTGTATATTCATTAAAACAAGATCGTTTAACAGCTACATTATTTATACTTATATTAGCTATATCAGATTTTTTAGCATGTATTACATTGATACCTGGTACAATGATTATAGAATATGTTGAATGGAATATTGATTCAACATTTTTATGTAAATTTTATTATTTTATAAATAATACTTTTATACCATTCAGTAGTTTATTAATTAGTTGTATAGCATTTGATAGATATTTTTGTTTATGTCATCCATTTAAAAATATTTTAACAAGAGAACGAGCTAAACGTGTCATATTAATATTGATTTTTATATGTATTATATTAGGATTTAGTTCAACATTTACTGTTAGAGTTGAACAAGTTCATTTTGATACAAATATAATCAATAATAATGATAATAATCGTCATAGCAACAAAACTATAGATTATAATTCAACTATTAAATTTGATTATTCATTTAATTCATATTATAAAAGTGAAAAATTTGAATGTACAGAAATATTAAAATTAAATCATACAATGATAGAAACAGTTTTATATCAGATTGTACAAAAAAGTCAAACATGCAGTTATATTTTATGCATTCTCTGCGTCGTTACACTTTATATATTGATTTATCGTTCAGTATCAAAAGTAAGTTTAATCTTTTGTTTGTTTGTTTTTGTTTTTTTCATTTTGATAATATCATTTTTTGCTTACTTTATGAATGGTGTTTATCGTTGGGTTTTACTGAGGTTTTTCTTTGAAAACATGAAGATGATTGGAAATCAGTCATTTGGTATGTTCAGTTTGACTATTTCATAACAGATAACATTAATGTTTAGCTTAAGTGGTTAAACATGTGCTGGTTTAAATGGGTTATACAGGGTTACTAGTAAATTGTGGGTAATTATTAACAGATAATCCGAAATTATCATCAATGTAGTCTATAAACTACACTGTGAGAGTCTTGACATAATATGACTTTTATACGAACTTAATAAAATCAGTTCTGTCTTTCCACGTTGTGGGGAACATGCAAGTGATAACCATCCTCATACCTCTAACAGTACTCAAAACCACTGTATTCATAATCAACCTCCCTAATTAACTACTTTTATGAATCCGGTATCCATCTTGTTGTGTTAATGAGGTATGGCAACTTGAACTGATGTATATATGTGCCTGGTCCTACGTTGTAGCTGACTGACTATCTTTTTATGAAATACCTGCAACAAAAAATTCGACAGTTTTCATCGGTTCATTTAATAAGACCATGAAGTCGTATTGTAGGACATGGTAATTAATTTTTGTGTTCACATCAATAACATAATTTTCAGATAATTTTTGAATGCAAAACCTAACAATGATTATTTTTGTATATTGGCAAACTGTGTTCACACTTCAAATCCATAGGACAGACGTTAAGTTTTTTCACATTCAATTATGAAGTTGCAAACTAATCAATTTATGCTGATCAAGATGAAGTGTTGAAATACAACAGATGATTTAAATACAATGTTGTGAAGTGATGAATATCTACCTAACAGCCTAAGTTCTCGCTGGTAACATGATAATTGTGAAAAGAAAATTCATGAAGATCAAGCGTTGAATACGACAGCTGATTTAAATACGATATTACAAAGTGATGTGTGGGCGAGAATGATAATGATTGGTTGTCTGCTTAGTCAGACATTTAGACAGTCTGACAAGTGTCAGATGAGTTATCATATTCCCCTATCCTTATTATCACTTATTATTGATTGTTCATTTTTGTTGGATCGTGTCAGGTTTTCGGTGTGGAAATATATTTACGTTGTGGTCAGGCTAATCACGTGTCCTTGATTTGAATTGTGTCGAAGTCCTACAGAATAGACACTGGAAGAGAATCTAGTGTAGATATTCGTTTAAGGTAAATAAACGTCCCATTCGTGCATACACGTATACAAAAGAAACTCAGCCGTTATAACACAAAATCATAACTCTACCTAAGAACCCAAGTTCTTTCTGGTAACATGATAACTGTAAACTGTAAAATCAGACATCAGATAGTCAGAAATCTTCGACTATTGAATCAATCAAGTAAGCTAATCAAATCTGAACATGGACTTCCTAGGACAGTCTACTATTCCATTACTTATGCAGACGTTAGTTATACGTGTATACCATATTTCAACTAACAACCAACTTTAAGGCTTATTATTTTACCATTTTGTTTATTTTCTTTTCATCTGTTAAATATGCGGTAAAAAAGTTTTCTCAATTTATCTAATCAATATTTAAACAAAAACAAAAAAACGGGTTGGGATAAAATAATAAAAAAAAATTTATTTTACGTATGTTCCAGATATTTGGTTAGTTTCAATATGGTTTTATTGATAATCAATAAAGTAAACACATTTACAATCATAGAAATCTATTAATAATATAATATGTTTATATTATTTTGTTTTGTTTGTGTGTTTGTCTTTTTGTTCGTTTGTTTGTTTGTCTACAAAGTAAACAAACATAACATTTCAACACATGATCTATTGAGTAGAAACTATGATCAAAATGAATCTTAATTTTATATTATTAACGTGATTTATAATAAAATAGATGTTAACTATTAGATAGAATAAGATAGAGATAAGTAACTAACACCTAATGATGTTGAAAATATATGACCACAAAAAAGAAGGGTCATTCTCAGATAAATTGAATTTTAATTATCTGGGTTACATTTAGAGGTATTTATGGATTCTTTTAAGTACTATTTATCTTCAAAGGTTATTGTTACTAACTGGAACCTGCTGAAATACACGTGTTTCTATGTAGTGGAAATACGTACTACCATCATGATATGTCCGGCGCTCTAACCGGATCCTAAACCAATGGTGCATACGGGCTCCAGTATCCTGCGGGAACAAATGGTGTATGAACCAATTTTTGGTCACCGACTGACATCCAGTGGCAACACCATGTGAATAATGCAGAGGTTCGGCATCGTGTGTTCGAGTACAGAGATGATAATTCAATTGGTGTCACTATCTTGAAACACCGACTTCGGTGGCTTGGACATGTTCTACGAATGTCGTCCCAGAGAATTCCACGTCGTGCATTATTTGCCGACTCTGGGGCTGGTTGGAAGAAGCGGAGAGGTGGTCAGTATATGACATGGTGTCGTGGCAAGAAAGAAAGCTGCAAAGAACTGGCTTCTGTTGGTCCTTCATGACTCCCTGGCTAGGGTACCAGAGATGGTGCAACACAGTGGCTAGAGACGTTATCAGATTTGGCTCAGAATAGAAGCCTATGGCGATCCTGCTGTAACCTTCTTTTACTTTCTTCATAAAAAATATGGTTGCTTCTTCCTTAACTGAAAGATCTCTTCTGATTGTACCATTCTGTTTCCCCCATTATTACTATGATTATTATTACGCTACCTTACACTAATCTGTTCGTATTTGTTCTCTTTTTTTACGCTCCTTACCTTCTTCTTCCTTCTTCTCTTCAAACTCTCATTGTTTTGTGTGGCGCATATATATTTGGTGCCCTCTTGTACTAATACATATGTGTTCAAATAAGTAATAAATAAATAAAATAATTTCACAGGTTGAAATCATGAGTCAGTTGAAGCTAGACCACCATTGAAAACCTGGAAGCACTGGACGGCCGTTTCGTCCTAGTATGGGACTCCTCAGCAGTGCGCACTCATGATTTCAACCTGTGAAATTTCCTAAAATCTCCACAAAACTCATTCTGAAAATAAAATAATCATGATATACAAAATTGTTGAGTAATACCAGAGATAGTTTATGATTTTATATGTTTTTGTTCTTAAGGCTTTCATTGCATAACTGAGAGAATCGTTACAGAAAAAATATTTCCTGTAGACTATTATATGGTAATTGATATTTTTACATAGCTATTGAATTTCACGTAATTAAACATGTTGATTTAAAACTGGAAAATAGTTATAATTACGTTACGTTCATCATTTCGTTTAAGTCTGTTGAACTACGAAATAAGTTCAGGATTGTATTTTACATCATTGTCATTTGTCGTTGAGTAAATGATTAAGAAGAGCTATCAAAAACTTGTTGTTCAGCATCAATTGTTTATTATGAATTCTATTCAACATGCATTATGCTTCAAGATGTTACCTACTGAAAATAGAATTAATCAAAGGAAATTGATATAGATAAATCTAATACTTGCATTCATAAAATATTTGTCAGGTTTTTCTTTGTACCAATACCGTTTAACTTATTTAAAGCCCAGTCCTTCATTTTCTTTAGTTTAATTGATAAATACGTCTTTCAAGGGATTAAAACATTAATAATCCAAACTTCTTGTTGCATACCTATTACATTATTATTTATTCAATCATTTTCACTAACCGTTTAACATTTACTTACTTACTTACACTTGTTACTCCTCATGGTGGTGCATAGGATGCTCACCAGGATTCTCCATTCAACTCTGTTCTGGACAGTCCTTTCCAGTTCTTTTCAGTAGCTATTCATCCTTTACATGTCTTCTTGCAACTCCCGATGCAGTGTGTTCTTTGACCTTCCTCTCATTCATTTCTCTTCAAGATTCCAAGTTAGCACTTGCCGCGTGTTGCAGTTTGATGATTTCCTCAATGTGTGACCTATCCGCTTTCAACGTCTTTCCCTAGTTTCCTGTTCGTTTGGAAGTTGGTTTGTTCTCTCCTATATTAGGACTGTTTCAGAGGGTATTCGGGTTTGAGACTTAGTTTCTTTTAAATTCACCATAAGTTAATTAGAGATCATTCCTACATTCAAATGTTAAACGGTAGAATATTGTTTGAACACAATAAAAAGTTAACCGGAAAAAAACTACATTTGCTTAAGTTTTATTCATAATGTATAAATGAGAAAAAAAAGCAAGTTAATTTATCAGTTTGATAAAATATTTCCTTTGCTATCAAGTATACCTACTTTTATTGGTAAGGAATACGTATTAGCAAAAGTAAATGATGAATAGATTACTGAGGGATGTATTTATAGAAATCGTATATATTCAAAATTACCTTCGTTAATTTTTGTTGTTTATTCAAACCAAAAACAAACCTCGTCAGGTCAATATGTCTGGTAAATTCCGAATGTTCCGTTTTATCTAATTGACAACTCTGAACAATTCTGAATGCTCGAAACATTTTTTAGAGGTGGTAGATTGAAGTTCTTTTTTTTTTAAAAGGATCCCACATATAATTCTGGTTTTCTTATTATAACTCGTAGAAGATTTTGTAATAACCAAATGTGCATGAATGTTTGGTTTAAATGTATTGGTGAAACGTTTGATAATTAGTAACATATTTTGACTCTTACTCTGAAACCTAACAGTCACTTTCTTATGTCCTTACATACCATCTATAGAATAGAGGTAAACCATCAATTCACAAATAACGTTTAACACTGCTTAGTGAATTACAATGGTATAACCTTATTTTGTATTTAACATAAGGCAAATAATTTTTCCGGTATATGCAACCTTTATCTAGAACATGTATATACTTGTTAACTTTGGTTTTTGACTTGCCGGAATGTATTAAATTCACGATATTATTATCACTTTTAATTATCGCTAGTTAGTTAATTAACACTATGAAATGATAATTTACCATGAGTGTTTATAAACGAGAAATTCATTTACGCCCTAATATAGAAATAATGAAGTTGAAGGTGTAAAATTAAAAAGAAAACAGCAAAGACTTATGTGAGGACGGCCAACAGGTGAACTCGAAGAAGCTCTACGAAGGTCAGAAAGAGCTGATGACATTCCACCAAGTCATCTAATGAAATAATATTCTAGAATCCCTACGTATACCTCCCCTGTTGGACAAATACTAAATACCACTGTATGCGGATTGGATGACTATAATGATGATTTTACTTTTACTAAAATCTATAAACACCCGACAGTATTGTAATATATTTGACACTATTCGGAATAGCATTTCTTCTCACTCGTCTTCTGTTTTCTCGTTTTCCAATTATAGGTTTCTAGCGTTCGAGTGCTCAAATAGTACGCGGTATATCAAGAATCTAAGCTCTAAATATAACAGCTATTATTTTTATGATGTAATAATTTGTTTTCTACAAGCGATAAAATTACAGACTGTTTCTTTTACCATCGATAGGCTAATTATGAATGAGTTATGCGGAACAAAAATGTCTAAAAATCTTAGTATATATTAACATATCTTGTTGGTTTAAATCATTTTGTTAATTTATATCATGCTTGAAAAGAAATAAACTATGAAACGTATCATGCTCCAATTCATTGAAATAATGGTCAAGACAGTTACATATATGTACTAAAAGTAAGACATTCACTTTCTTCAGATAAACAAGAAAACTTTATTCTTCTATACAAGTTAAAATATAAGATTTATTGTCTGAGTCTTCGTTGATTCAATCCGTAATTTGCCAGTGTCTATATTTTTTCTACTTTTAAGCATTATACGTTAGATTATCACATTGAATAGAGAATCTATTCTTGCATAGATTTTCATCCGTTTATTTCATTTACACGGTAGACTATTGAAATTGAGGTGTAGTGTCAAGATGAAAATGTATCGACTGTTATTTTTCAAAAATAAACATTACTGATTTCAAATGGTATATGGATAAGTAAATGCTTCAATAAAAAAATTGAATATTGTGAGGATGGCCTACGAGCGAACTCGAAGAAGCTGATGACATTCCACCAAGTCATCTATTGAAATAATATTCCAGAGTCTATAAACACATAACAGTTTTGTACTATATTTGACACTGTTTGGAGTAGCATTCCTTCTCACTTGTCTTCTGTCTTCTCGTTTTCAACTTACAGGGTTCCAGCGTTCGAGTGCTCAAGTAGTACTTGGTATATCAACAATCTAAGCTCTAGATATTATATATATTATAGAGGAGTCGTGAAAAACGCACATATAAAAAGATAGAAACATCCACAATAAATTTGTTATTTAGCACTATTGCATATTGTTAGTTTAAGCATGGAATAGGTCCAAGCTATGAATTGCGACAAAATAAAAAAAGATTGTTGATGTCAGTGATGATATTTAAGCATAAATGGATAGTCACTAACAGTGGGATCCGAAAACGCGCTTTTCATCCTATGTGATACCCGTCAACTGGATCACCAAGATTGTGAAAATCTTGAATGAATAAAGTAACTTATTGTTGAGTTATCTGGGTGTTAATCTCTTCTTAGGACATAGAGAATAATTTTCCAGTTCATCTGCTCATCACTGAAATAATAAGATTTCAACCGTATTTCAGCGAAAATGTATCGCTACGTTTATTAATTTACTGTTTAACCATAATTTCAAATATAAAACAAGCGTGTTGAAACTCGAGGTCTGGACACATAACTAGACAAGATTTGAAGCACAATCTTCGAATAAAATTACTATTTCACTTAAACTATAATAACATTTATATGTTGTTTCGTTAAGAATGCATCTTAATAATTTCTATTGGTACTAAATTAATTGAGTTGGACGACTGACTAGTCATATGTTGATCAACTTTTTAATGAGTATTATAGAAACTATCAGTAAATTCACATCATAATTTAATTGCTAACCAATAAACATACTAAACTTACGTAGTTCATAAACACAATACTTGACACAATAGTTACGTACATCGTGCCGGCTTAGTGATCCAGTAGGTTACGCGTGCAAATCCCGCGAGTGAAATCGTGAATGCGCACTGCCGAGGAGTCCCAAAATAGGACGAAACGGCTGTTCAATGCTTCCACGTTTCCGACGGTGGTCTAACATCAATCGGCTCATGATCTTAATAAAAAAAAGTTACCTACAGTGATTGATTGATTGATACATAGTAACATTAACATACCAACAATATTTCAATAATAGATATTTATCAATCATTTTCATGTTACCAAACATTATCAACACACATCACTGTTCACATATTACTAACATTTTGATTAAAAGTAATTAGAAATTTACATGTGACATTTTAATTAGTTGTTTTCTCAGTTATCTAAACAAAATCACTACATGAGAAGCAAAATAAATAAATGTTTATTCTTAAGTTAATAATAGAACATACGCTAGTTCAAGTGAATATTTAGATTGATATAGAAACATGATAAGATGTGTAGATGACAGGTAATTAAGATTAAACTATTTAAGAAAAAGATGTTGTTATTCATAAATAATATTGAGAGGATATTTATCATATAGATTATAATGATGCATGGCAGGCAGAAGCTTGAAACGTATAATTTTGAATATGAGAACTGAGACTTTTGGTTAAGTTATGAATAATGTATTGAAAGAATTTTTGTGTATATTATATTAATTTCAATAGTTGAGATCATGAATCAATTGGAGCTAGACCAACATGGAAAGCCTGGAAGTAGTGGATGACTGTTTCGTTCTATTGTAGGACTCCTCAGCAGTGAGCATCCACGATCCCGCCTCATGAGTTTCCAACCCAGAACCTATCAGTCTCACGCGCGAGCGCTTAACCACTAGACCACTAAGCAAGTATCTAATGCTTATTTTTTTGGTTGTTTTTTGCAGAAATCAATAAATGATTCAATTTGATCTATTAGAAACTGTCGAATTAAAGTATTCAATGGTCATTTTAATTTATTTCTTTATTATTATTATCCAATAAAATCAGATCATTTTAGCGGTTAAAATAAAAATTGATCGAAATCAGGTCAAATTATTGAAAGAGCTTAATTTTTTTGTTTTTGAGATTCATTCCTGTTAATTGTCCTTGATAATAATCCTACAATAATAACTAATGCTTTAATAGATCATTATAAAAAAGGGGGTTTTGTCGAGACTTTAGTGGTTGAATTCATGAGTAGATTAAAGCTAGTCCACTATTAAAAACCATCGATCCATTGAACGGTTGTCCAGTGTTTCCAGGTTTTTCATAGTGGTCTACCATTAAAAGACTCATGACTTTAACTATTAAATTGATAAAATGTCCACAGAAATCACATTCTGATTATAATCAGAATATGCTCAATAGTGACTGGCTTCATGAGGTATTTCTTGAACTTCTAGTAAGAATCAGTGACCAGTGGAGTTCATCTGAGTATGTTGTGAGATAGTAACCCACTGAAATCAATGGTAGACATGTGGCTCAATTTCGTGAATTAGTTGAAGTTAGACATTAACAACTGTGAATTTCGACTCAGTGGTCGAGAAATTAAGCGTTCAAGTGCGAGTCCGATAAATACTAGGTTCGAGTCCTACCGGCAGGATCATGAATGCGCTCTGCTGAGGAGTTCCATAATAGGACGAAACGGCTGTCCAATGCTTTCAGGTTGTCTAACTTCACCTGACTCATGAATTCAACCATTAAATTACTTGTTTACTTTTCATTATCTGTTACATTGTTTTCTCTTTCTCTCATGTTTTTTTTTCTTCTCAATTATTAGGTATTTAAAAAACGTTTAGAATTAAAAGGTGTAAAAAAAGAGAATAAAAATCATAAAAAAATCGAAAAAAATCATAAAAAAAAGAAAAACTGTCAATTTACATTTAGAAATTTATTTAATTATCAATCGAAAAAAATAAAAATATCCCCAATGAAATTAACATTAACAAATCAAGATAATCCATTCACTCAATGTGATGGATTCAATCAACATATAAATAATACTATAATATCTGAATCAAATTATACAGAAACAATGAAACCATTAAATGTTTTATCATGTAATACTATTGATATAAAAAATAATGAAGAAATGAATGATCCATCACAAAAACACGATCATCATCATCATCAACAGCACCACCACGAAGAACAACAGCACCAGCACCACCACCACGAACAACAACAACAACAACCACAAACAATGAAATCCAATACATTGGTTTCTATAAATTGTTGTCATAATACAGAATCAGTAATGATTCAACCAATTACATTAAATTATGAAACCAATTTAATTATAAATGAAGAGAAAACACGTCGTTCAATGAAAACAATCAAAGATAATATTGCATTTCAAAATTTAAAAACAGCAGCAATGTTATTTGTTGTAGCTGTTGTTTATATTGTAACATTTATACCAGCTATGTTAATGGCTATACAATATGTACCATTATATTTACCAATATTTTATTTATATTATATAAATAATGCAATTAATCCAATTATATATGGTTTTATGAATCCAAATTTTCGAGCTGATATACATCTACTTATATGTCAAAAATTAAAATGTATATAAAATGAATATATGAATGATACTTAACAATAATGAATGAAATGAATAGATCATTTGATTCATTTTATATATTGTTGAATAAAAAGATCTAATCTTATTCTAAATGTATGGATCAATTCTTCTTTATTTGTATTTATACATTCCTTGAATTGAGATTCGATAGATATATATAAAGAGTATTGTATTATTGTATTACATAATATATATTGTCTATGTCTATTATATCCTAATTAATTGTATATAATGTCATACAAGTTGCATATGACTTTATTATAACTGCAATAACGAATATTATTGTTAAATTACATATGTATCTAAACATAAATGTTATTTCATTACTATACATCATAAAAAATTAGTGGAGACATTCTTTTTGTTCTCATGAACGTTGAACTAGTTGTTCTAAAAGCAATTCTGAAGTTTTATTCGTTAATAGGTAATAATGACTAGGTGTTATGACTTTTAATGAAAAAATGTAACTAATTATGTATTTATCAAGTACATGAAGTTGTAGAGATTGTTGAGTTTAAAATGATATTATGATTGGATTAATCACAAAGCACAATTGAAAACCTGAAATAAAACATCCGATGACTGAGACCGAAAATCGTGAATTCGAAACCGGTGTGCTGGATTGTGGATATGCACTGCTGAGGAGTCCTATACTAAGACGAAATGACCGTTCATTGTTTTCAGATTCTAAATGGTGGTCTAATACTGACCCATTGATGATATCAATCTATAATAAGATGTGTTCCTTCGTGGTCAGACTGAGAGACAGATATAGATAGTCGGCTTAAACAAATCTTGAATTTCTTGTAAAGTCAAGTTTGCACAAATGTCTCAAATGTTCTAAATCGGTATAAATGGAGACCAGTAGTTAGATATCTACTGCTAAACTATACATGCACAATTTGCTAAGACAGTTCATTGTTTGATAAGATTAACATTATCGGAACACTAAGACTGGAAATACTATTAAAACTTCAATCACTAAGAATATATATTATGTAGAGACCCATTAAATTTCAGTGTTTATTGTATGTAAATGTTTGAGATAATATGGTCAGAGATTTTGCCAAAAGTGAATAAGGAAGTAGCCTTGAAACACTACCGCATAATATAAAGGATCATGTGTAGTATTGATAAAACATTAGTTTAGATGATTAACTTTGCAGTTCTACACCAAAAGATGTAAGCAATGAAAACGTTTGTGATAACATGCACCATAGATAGTCATTAGTAATAGTAGCTTCTAATTATTCCTCATCATATTTTGCCATTGTTCCGTGCAACCGGTTGGCTTGATTTTAGTAGCAATAGAATAGTAATATGAGAATATTTTATCAATTGAGTAAGTAATATAAACAACAACTTCTGATTGTTACTTTCCTTAACATTGAATAATTTTTCATAATCATTAATTTCAGTCAACCAATTCAAGAATCATACTTTAATACATTTAATTATTCTCTTAGTAAATAATCGTTTGATTCAGTGATCTAAACGTTGGACGTTCGTGTGTGAGACCGAAAGTCATGTGTTCGAGTCCTGCATGCAGGATCATGGATGGGCACTATTGAATGAAACGGTCGTCCAGAGTTTTCAGGTTTTCAGTGATGATCTAGCTTTAATCGACTCATGAATATAACTATTAAAGTAATCGTTCTCTTTTATCATTTTCAATAGTACCATAAAATTCAACAGATCAATGAACGTTCAGTATTGTTTCATTTTTTAGGTTTTGAGTAACTTCAAAAGAAGAACTATTTTAAAACCGAAATAAACTGACATGGATAAAGTAACACTGAACACTAAAACAAACAAAAAATATTCTAAATAATTCGGATTCATTTTCTCCCTTTTATCCAGTCATGCAATGTAACAATAAATCTTATAAGTATGATAACCATCCTATACGATTCATTTATTATTCGATTTTAGACAAATTAAAACAAAATAAACATATTAAATTTCAAAGCATAAATTCAATATTAAATCAACAATTTTATTTGAATGGTTGATATTATGAGTCAATTGAAGCTAGACCACTGTGGAAAACCTGGAAGCAGTGGACTGCGCATCCACAACCCAGTCTCGCAAGGTTCGAACCCAGGACCTATCAGTTTCGCGCGCGAGCGCTTGACCTCTAGTTCACTGAGCCGGCATTCAACTGTGTTAGTGTCCATTTTCTTTATTCAAAGATATTAACCATAATTCATGTTCAAATAATGGATATTGTAATAGTTTAAGCTGTAAATTATGTAATTCTCATTGATGTTTCTTCAAATAATTTACTAATATGTTCTTATTAATTACATTAACAAATATGTAAGAACAATAGGAACAATATAGGGGTAGATTTGCATGCATGTAGTATACAATTCTCTTTGAACCTAGCATAAAACAATACCATCATGTACTGTTCCATCACTCTTGGAAAATCAAGCAACCCGGAAGTCACGAGAACAACATCAGGGTATACAACAGACTAGGCACCACTATATGTTCTTATTAAGTACACTAATAAATATGTGTGTTTTACATTATGTTTTAATTGAAAGTACACTCTAAGTCTTATATGATGATATCAATTTCCTGTTTATGTTTAAATCATAAACCATCAAAATGATGAGTTGAGAGTAAATAAAAAGTTACATGATATGTTGATTTTGTTCGTATTTTACTATGATTTCGACGAAATGTCTAGGGTCTTTCTAAAAAACTCTCTCTTTTAATCAAAATTCATATGGATGATAGTTTCATAGAGTAACCTAATCTCAAAATAGATCACAATATAAAAAGCTTTATTTACACTAATTATTAGTTTGTTTCTTCTACTATAGTATTATGTGATAATGAATTATGATTATTAAACTAAGTGAATTATCATATTCACTAGGTGTTATTTTTACTTGTATCTCCTCATTGTTATATGCATGCTGTGCGGATTGCCTTGATATAATATTCAGTCACAAGCTTTTTAAGCAAAGATTAGTAGTGGCTAGCAGTAGAATCCAGGCTGCGCGTTTCGTTCTATTTGGGACTAGTCAGCTGGATGTACCTGTATTCCAGAGTTGATGTTCACTCTTGGACTAGAACCCAGTACTGTTCGCTTCAAACGCCAACAAGAGACTGATCAACTGCAGTCTTAAGTGACAATTGGAAGATACAAGTAAAACTGTTGGGGACGATAGATCCCCAAATTCATATTTTAAATTTTATCGCATCGATCAACTTATTGATTAAATGTTTAAATATTTGTATTGGGGTCAATTGATGAACTGATCGATTAAATGTTTGAATAGCAGTCAATAGATGAACTATCGATTCAGTGGGCAAATAGGTCAATTTATGAACTCATTGATTAGTGGTTAAAAATTTTCTATGACAATATCGATTATATATATGTTTAAATTGTGTTTGAGTGCTTGCTTGCTTGCTCGCTCACTTCCTGGCTGTTTGCAGAATATACTTTCCATACCAAGCCAGGACTTCTCCGTCTAGATAGCGGGGCTGGGACGCGTCAATAGTTAGATCACTGGTCTTTGGTCACTGAGTATTGTTCTCGTCCGCAGTTTAAGTGAACTTCGTGAAGTTTCAAACATAACAAAAACAACACCAAGTGAATTTAAACTTCATCATATTGCACTGGTAGGTGGCCATTAGGACTCAGTAGCTAAGTGAATAACACGATTGCTTTTGAAACGAACAGTACTGAGTTCGAGTGCTGGAATGAACATCAACTCTTGGATGCAAGTACATGCAGTCGACGAGTCCCAAATAGGACGAAGCCTGCGTCCTGCATTCAACTGCTAGCCACTATCCATCTTTGTTTAAGTAAATTATTATTGTTGTGAAATCAGATGAACTAAATCATGATTTAATAATATCCACTAAACATTAAGTATAAAAATTACATTCATTCATTTCTTGAATGTTTTTAAGGTATTATTATTGAAAATTACTAGATCAAAGGTGATCACCATTAGGTTTAATATTTCTTAGACGAATATTTCCAAAAACAAAACTGTACTAAATAAGTGTAAAACATTGATTCCTAAGTAATCTGACAAACTACTAAAATGAAGAAAATCACTTAGTAAAATCTCAGACTCACTTTGAAAAGTTCCGCAATAAAACGTTTACCTATGTTTACAACAAAGTATTTGTTAGATAATAAAGATCGTTTGATTTTTGTCTAGATAGAGTTTTAATGTCACGTTATGTGGATACTAAGTGACTGTAGTGGCTTTGTTTCTTTAATCGATCACCTTGATAACCGTGATAATATAAATCTCAACGGTGTTTAAAATCAGAAGGCAATATGAAATGGCAACTACAGTTTACTAACGGATAGTGCTATATGCAAATCGAGCGAATGTGAATTAGAGATGCGAATAAGTATATATGGGCAAATTTATAGTCAAATTGCATAAGGGCGCAGCAAGACAAAGCAAGGACTAATAATAGGATTTGAGTACATATATACATTGGGAGAAGAATGAATCATCGAGTGATATTTAAGTGATCAACATTTTAGCTAGAGTGTGCCATGTTCTCTAGTGATCATAACGATACAAAGAAATATGCGAATTGTTACTGTTCAAATAACATTGTTTGTTAAGTAAGTTAATATAAGGGCTTAGCCAAAATTAACCACAACCTTGGTCTAACTCTGATATCATTTAGTACAAGTATCTGACGCTATCCTATCGGAACGGTAGTTTAATTAAAACATTTTTTGGTTCTAGTCATATTTGTAATAGTTCTAATTATATTACTCACTCACAGATTAGTCGATTGACTTTACATACAGCGTTTTCAAACTCTGTGATATGTATAACAATATCCTTTTAGTAATTCAGTGTTTTTACTCATTTCTCAGTAAAAATGCTTAGAGCATTGAGTAATGATAATGCGGAGGCCCGTTAATTTTGTCGTCATTTATATCGTATGAATGTTTGTTATCGCCTATCCTCGTATTTGATCATCGACTTAAATCATGTTAGTCAGTAACGGAATTTAATAAGTCAAATAACGAGAATAAATTTTTGAATACATATATTTTGTATGTAAAGTGAATGGAATAGAACGAAGCAAAACGACGCGCAGTGGAGATGGCGGATAAGCCAACTCCCCTTTAACCAAGCGTTAATCAATAATTAAAGTTACAAAAAAGTAAGCTACAGACATGCGATGAGTAATGGGATATGAAGTGTACACGCATACACGCTCATATAAAAACAGTCAAGACTGATAAGCGAATAATTAACAAAATCAAAATGTGACTCAAATAGAATGAATGAAATGGTCTGTCCGAAAGCTAGAATAAGTTATATGGGCTTAACATAATAACCGACACTACTATAAAACACGCTATGACACAATACTGAAATTAATGTGTTTACTTTAGTAACGACTAAAGTACAATAGCTTGATTGAAGTTATTATGCTGAATAAGTGATATGAATGAATATACATCGAAGGAAGATGATTAAGTTTGTATACAAATATGTACATTATATTCTAAATATCATTCATTACACGAAAACATTATAATTAAACAATTTTGAAAACTACTTTTAGTAGAAATGTTTATTCATCTTAATTCAATGAATGATTTCTTAAGATCATTTTTGTTTATGAAGGATCTGTTGGGTGAAATAATTCAAGGAATACTTATCACATGTGAAAAACAAAACAATGATAAGTAGTACTTGACATTGAAGTTGTGTAAACTTGTTTATATCAAATGATAATCATACTCATTTGATTGACTTTTCAATGAAATCACAATTAGTTAACCGGTTTTGGTAGTATGTTATTTAATGAATTTTATGGTATAACTCAATCAAGCTTTTGTTTTAATGACCCTTATCTCATTTTCCTGGAAGAAATTTAGAACAGATAAAAACAAACACGTTTATAAATTCTCTATATATAAGTATAAACTACTGATTCATCAAATATTTATGCTCAGAATATTTGCACAAAAACTCGTTGGTAAATTAGACGAAATCTAGGGTGGTGGTTGAAGGCGATTGACAGAAAACCCTGCTACTTGGCACTTGTCAACAAAGTGAACCTGTATTCTTAAGGGAAATGATGCTCCCTGACGGACTCGATCACGTGTTACCCAGCTTCATATTAGAGATGTTACTGTTAAGCTATCAAGGCAGCGACTGACCATCTTCAGCACTGGGGTGTATTTAAAATTGATTTATCACTATATAGTGACTAATGTCATGTGTGATAGGTCCTTCTTAACACCTTCTACCAATATGTTACGTCGTAAAATAATGTATGCGATTTCAAGTCACCCAGACTAGGAACCAAAATGATCGATAAAATTCCATTTGCATTAGGAAGGAACTGACACACATGACATTGGTCACCATATAGTGATCAATCAATTGTAAATAAGATGAAATAGTTAAAAAATCCTCTAAATTCACTTATGTAAGTATTTCCATTGTTGAGTAAAAACGATCATAACAAATATTTGCCTCATTTGAATACTGGGAAATACTTATATAAAATATCAAGAACTACGATACAAAAGACTGAATTTCCAGAGGATATTGACTTTTAACTCCAAATGAAATATGACAACAGTTTCTTTTTCTAGACATAATTTAGGAATTGAGCGCTTGATAATTGTAGTTCCATTAGATTCCTGATGACTATATCTTTGTCACATTTTAATCAGTTTGAATGATGTTACAGATTTTTATGTTAGTTCATGTACTGATGAAATGTCGAGAAATATATTAGTTGTCGTCATATTTCGCTACTAAAATATATTGCCCTCCGAATATTAATAACCAGTACGAGCAAGATTCAAACCTATAAGCTCGAGAAGCTACAACTTGGAATGAGACAGCTGTCAGAGTTTCTTTGGCTTGTCATAGATTCTCAACTCGTCAAATTTATCAATCTTTAAAAAATATCTACACTGATAGGAATTCTATCCTAAATCAATTTTAGCTAACTATTATGATGATTTCGATAGACAGTGTTATTTATATTCATATAAATATTGATGA